TATCTGTTTTTATCTGCTTATGTTTACTTTTAAGAAGTTCACGCTTAAGTTATAGCAGCTGTAAACAGTCGTTCCCTCACCAGCCTCTCTTTTTTTCTCTCTCTTGAAGTTAATAAGACAAAAAAAAACACACACACAGCTTGTTGTGTAATCGAGAAACCGCAAAGAAGCGTAAACTCCTCTGTCCTGAAGATGTCTTTTTGCTCTTCAGTGTTTTTAATGACAAATCAGATCTTCACCTCTAAATCTTACAGGTTTCTTTATCACTATATACTTTGCAATAAATATAATCCCACTCCTACCACTGAAAAAATTCAATACACTTCATTACACTTGATTTGCACTGTGTGTGTTCTCTTATGTGGATCTTTTGATGGATGCAAAAAAAATGAAGCATCACAGACACTGTAGCGTATTTTCATGGATGTTTGTGTGGAGTCAGTCTGCTGTTACACATCCTGCTGTTTTTCTCTTTTCCCCTCTCGACATCCCCCTCTCTCTGCCTGCAGGCTGTGACCTGCACACAGATGCTCAGACAAGGTAGGCACGCACCGCCGGGGCTTTGTGTGTGTGTGTGTGTGTGTGTGTGTGTGTGTGTGTGTGTGCACGTACTCTCGTGTGTTTTCCAGTAAACCTGTCTAATCGTTTCACTTATGCTAGTCTCCCTCTGCACACTCAGCTCTGATAAGTGGCTCTTCATTACACACACACACACACACACACACGCAAATCTGACATGATGGGCATGTCAGATGAAACCTGGGGCGAGAATCACAGCTGTGTGATAATAACAATAATATACTTTGTGTGTTTTTGCAGCCTGAGTGTGTGTACAGATGTGGAATGTGATTGGTCAGAAGGTGTTGATTAATTTTCTGACAGTAGTGCAGCTGCAAATCACAGGTTTATACTAATGCGCTGGTTCTGATACGTTATCGTTTCTATAGCAACGGCTCACTCGCAGGGACTCGTATGGCGGATGCTCCAAATAATCTCTCCTTCACTCGTTCATTCCCTCATTCTTTCACTTATTCATTCACCTGTTTGATCCTTTGCTTCTTTGTTCCCTCGATTGTTCATCTTATCAGTTTTTTTGCTCATTGGTTCCTTCGCTCGTTCGTTCCCTCAATCATTCATTAATTCACTCATTTGCTCAAATTCTCCTTCACTCATTCGTTCCCTCTCTCCTTTGCTCATTCATTTGCTCATCTCTCATTGGTACCCTCTCTTCCTTTTACTTGTCTTGATTCATTCCTTTCCTCACTCCTTCCCTCATTTGTTCCTTCATTCCTTCACTCATGCATTCCTTCACTCACTCATTCCTTTCCTCACTCCTTCCCTCATTTGTTCCTTCATTCCTTCACTCACTCACTCATTTTCTCACTCCTTTGTTTATTTGTCCTCCACTCTTTTGTTCCCTCACTTTCACTCATTTGTTCCCACATTAACAGGTTTTAAAAAGTGTTAAATCACTGATATGGTGAAGTTCTCCGTAACAAGTATTTATTTAACGTTAATGGAAGGAGTCTCCAGTGTCAGCATGCATATGATAATGCCCTGAGCGGATGTTTAGTCCGACAGTCCGGCTGACTAACTGATATGAGAGTCAGCCATGTGGGTGATGTGTAAAGAGCTGCTCAGACTAGCAGAAAAGGGGGTATGCTAATTTTTTCTTCTACACATACCTTTTCCCTTCTGAAACTTGCTCTGACAAGTTGGTAAACAACTGACTTTAAGGTAGCGACCCAGGCAACGATGCTGACACACTTCTACACACACCTCTAGTGCAGTACGTCTCTAATAATAGAATGCGCTCTGTTGCCAGTTAATGAGCTAACTCAGTGCACACTGCTTTTCCAAACACACTGACTTCATGCCAAGTTCCGAACGTCCGAGCTTAATGTATTCCACTGTTTCTACTCGATTTGCGTCACAAATTTTAGAATTTCATCAGCATCAGAAGAGGATCCCTGTCTATACTGTAACCCAAAAAAAACATCTGACACATTCTTTAGTTCATTTTATACCTCAACTCTGCTGAATTCTGGAGAAAGAAAAGAAGAGGGGCTGGTCAGAGAACGGCTGTTTGTAGCTGCCATGACATAACTTGTTTCATGAACTTTCCATAACATTGAAAGGATTAAAAGCATGATGTGCTGTTCTTTAATAAATAGAAGTTCTAGTTGTTAGCGAATCCATTGGCTGAGTCTCACAAACACACACACGGTCAGCGGTTAATCGACATTCCACAGATATCGCACGTGTATATAAAGGCCAAGGATAGTGCACATGTACATATACAGATAGAACTCTATCATTTGTACATAAACACAGATCTATTATATTGTTTCTATTATTTCTATTGTTTCTATTATTTCTATTGTATAGGTATTTATGGAAATTCTTTTCTTTTCTTTGATAGTACTCCTCCTACTTGTGCTGCTGTGTCAACTGAAATTCCCCTATAGGGGATCAATAAAGGTACATCTCTCTCTCTCTCTCTCTCTCTCTTAAATTGCCATGGTATAAGGGGAATAAAACACTTTAGGACATGCTGTTATAGGAAAGTATTTAACTTCAGGGTGTCACTCATTATTATACTTAATCCTATCAAATGGCCACAAAAAGTATAGTCACTCACTAACACAACACCTTTCACACTCTTGCAGTTCTCTAGTAACATTAATGAGAGGAACATTAATGCTGCGGACTTCTAACTACTGTTATTATGCATAAATTATCCCAGTTGTAAAATCGTTGTTGGGAAAAACATCGTCAAAGATGTACTATAAAGTAATAATTAATGCATAAGGAGCAATGCTCAGTGTTCACAATGCAATCAACGGTTTTACATCCGGGAATTTCATCTTCCAACTGGTACATTGTACGTGGCCGAGTTTCGAGATCTGCATACTCGAACTGAAGTATTAGGGACTAGATTTGCATATGTAATAAACATGTATCTCAGTGTATACTGGAATCTAATTATATTTTCTTATGACTTAATGAATGGAAATGTTTGTGCTAAGATCATTACGGCATTTATATTTTTATAATTAAATGATAAACTGTTAAAAGACCTGACAGTAATGCCAGTGCTGTGATAGTTCCTCAGGGGTTCTTTCCTGATGATTGGAGGTTCGAGCTTTCTAAAGAGGCCCTGCGTGAACTCATTTCTGAAAGGGAAACCCCCTGTTTTTAAGGGATTTAAATTCTTCTTTTCCAGAAGTGTCAGTTTCCAGAAATCAGCAAAGTTTAAGATGCAGAGACGCAGTGAGACGCCCAAACTAACCCTGAGGGTCGTGCCAGTATTTAGGCATCTTATGTGTTGAAGTCTGAAATTAATCTTCACAACTAACTTTTTTTTATTGTTGATTTACCCTTTTGCCTTTTTAGTGCATTTGATATTATGAGGTCAGAAAATGTCAATTTAAGTGCACAAAATAAATACAGAAAAATATTTTACCAACTTTTGATAAAGTCAAAATATCCACAATTTTGAGTTTTTATATTCAAAAATGTAATTTATTCATTGACTTGTAACTTCCAAAAATATTAAATGCTGAAGTTTTATAATGACAAATGACACTGTGTTTAGGAAATGAAATAATGAGTTCATGAATAAAAAGCTGAGCTTGTACGCTCAGGTGTGATGAAAGAAGTTAAGATACTTTTAAAATAAAGTCTTATTTTCAAAAATGTAATTCTTGCAAACTAAGATGAATGTTCTGTAAAAAATGTATAATAATTTTATAAAAAGTTTCAGTCGAATCAGAGTTTATGGCTCAAACCACTACACTCTGAGAAATAAAAGTACTATACTGTACTTTTTCTTTTTTCTGGGGTTTGTACCATCAAAGGGACATGTTTTGTTCCTTCAGTACAGAAGAGAAGGTGCACGTGGCTTAGCTTTAATTAGATTTTAAAATAAAGTGTTAAAAGCTCTGCAGTGGTCCATAAGATCCAATAATGTACCTTAAAGTATTTTAAAAGTACACTAAAGGTATTCACATTACCAGTCGAAAGGTACGAAACATAACAGTACCACCGAATGACACAGAACCACACAGTTTGGTCCCTTTATTTCTGAGAGTGTATAGAAAGTTGAAACTGTATTGTTTCAAGGCCCGAGCCTGTCCTTACCCTCATGCAGTGTGATTTATAAAATCCCCATCTGGACAGGAAAGTGCTCAATCTGGCAACCTTCATTGCGCAACGCGCCTCTAACCTCTCACCCCGGCCAAAAAGTATTTCAGCTATTTGAAGTGCAGGCAGGAGAAAGGAGGCGGAGGAAGAGCTGAAAAGAGAGCAGGGGTATGCAGGGTGGAACGGGACAAAATTCTTTCACTCGCTTGCTTGTCTACATTTAGCTCTGAGTTTGGACCTGGAGTGAATTTTCTTTGCCTGCAAAGTGAATTGAGGGGAAAAAAAACCTGAACAATGAAGTCTGGTGCATGATGTCTGCATCTTTAGTTTTGCACAGGAACTATACAACGAATGTAACTAACATATAAATAAAGCTTTTAGCTACCAGTTTAGTATTTCTACAAGCCATAAAGTACCATAGAGTGTCAGGCACCATGTCAGATGCTACTCCAAGGCAAACATAGTAGTAATAAGGTGGTTATGTAAACATCTGACACCAAACATGACTTGGCTGATAGATGAGATTTGGGCTAAGCAGACCGCTGTGTAAACATAATTTCTGTCTAAATTTTATTTCTGCTGCATTATAGCTTTAATTCTGGGTTGTTCGGGGGGAAAAGAGCACTAGAGGGCAGTGCAGACATGGATTTCATTTGCATTATGAATGTCGCTGGTGATCTTCTTTCAGCTGCTCCCGTTAGGAGTCGCCACAGAGGATCTTCGGTCTGCATGTTTGATACAGCACAGTTTTTACACCCGATGCCATTCCTCACACAACCCTCTCCAGTTTTATCCGGGCTTGGGACCAGCACTGGGAGCGGACTGTCCTGTGCAACCCCAGTGGCTGAGGTTAGTTCCCTGGCCAGGAACCGAACCCGGGCTGCGGCAGCGAGAGCACCGAGGCCTAACCACTAGTCCTCCAGGTTCCCCTAATTTACACTGTGACTAATATAACTAAAATGTTCATGTAGGTTACTCTAATTCACTTTTGCTTTTGGCAAAATTAAGGTATTAAACGATGGGTACTTCAAACATTCGGCACTTTTTTTTAAGTGATAAGCGGCTAAAGCCGCCCAATCTTGATTCTTAAAAATCTGTGAAAAAAATCATGATCGTAGCTTTAATGTTTAGCAGTTTAAAAAAAAATGAGGAAAAGTTTGTTTATTTTGTTTGGATTATAACCCAGCACTCTGCAAAGGTTTTGTATTTGTATTTTCATTTATTCCCTGCTTGATTTTCAAAGCGGAAGTTAGCTGTACTGTAAAGAGCAGGCTCACAGCTTTTACCCTGTCCTCTGTTTTCCTCTGTTTTGTTATTCAGTCCCGACACCAATCATAAATCTGTTCATTCAGCAACCGGTGTGTGTGAGACTGCAAGCCATCTGTGCTTAAAAAAAGATATAGCCTAAAATATCACATATCTAATAGAAATTGGGCTAAAAGGGTTAATTTATTTTATTTTGTTGCGCATTTTAAAATGTCTATCTAGCTTTATTTTGTTACATATTGCAAAATTTCTGACTGCATTTCTGTTTCCGCAAATTAAATTACGCAAAATGGCAAAGCGGAAAAGGTGGTACAAATTTTGACCCGTTCCACCCTTCATACAGAGAGCGAGAATGAGAGAGAGAGAGAGAGACTCACTCACATACAGTACACACAGAGTAGAGAAAGAGTGAGAGACGGAGCTCAGAGGGTGAGATGGAGCCGCGGTTGGAGAAGCGGCTCTGCTGAACCCGGGGACGGGAGAACCGGACCGGGGCGCCGCGGAATGGCCGATCCTCTGCGGCGGACTCTGCTAGCCAAACTCCGGGGGAAGAAAGGCAAGAAAGGCTCGGTGCCGGCCGACTGGAGCAACGAAGAAGGTAAAGAGAAAGTTTTGCGTGCACGAGACGCGCACAGTCCCCGAGCGGCCGCCGCCACCGCGGAGCTGGATTACGTGCCGAACGCGATGAGAGGTAAGCAGGGCTGTGTGTGCGGGGGGTTAGAGCGCACGGGCGCACGGTGGGCCGACCAAAACGAGCCGCGTGTGCACGCACACGCCGGTCGGGGGGGCGATCAGAGCGGCGGAAACGGGGGGCAAGACGCACAGAAGCTCTTGTGGGTCTCCGGTCATAAGCACGAGTTGCTCTTGACGAACGACGTGAGCAAGCAGCCGGTCGCAGTTCCGCGGAGACACACCGAGGGAGACTCAATAGGGTTCGGAAACTGCAACGAGGTCCACTTTATGCCTGCGATGGATACCGGTAAAAATGCGCACTGCAGAGAACCTGCTTTCAGACCCAACATGACCAAAGAAAAACATGCGGAGGTGGAACGATGCCTGAACACTGAGAGACTAGAACCTGGCGGAACCAAGATGCACTGTTCGGATCCACCTGGCCTTTTCCAGTATCTCCATTCCGGACACGTTAACGAACAAGACTTGATCCAGACTATTGAAAGTTCTTTAGAGCTTTGTGAAGATTTCAGCATGCCTTCTTTGCAGAGTCCGACCTTTTTCCCCACGGAGCTGGAGATAGTAGATGCTGACTTGGCTCCACGCCTGGTGTGTGCAAGAGAGGGAATGAATCGCCACAATTCTATAGACAGTGAGGACGAAGACTATTATGATAACGAAATCCTGCCATTTTACGAGTCTGGCTCTCAGAGCAAAGAGACAAACGACAGCGAAGTTCCATCCAGAACATCTTTGCGCCCTTTGCAGTCTGAGTCAGACCAGATTGTTGACTCCAGCTCTCAGGAAACGGACAGACTCAGGAGTCAACTCAAGGAAGCGTACTACCTCCTGATAAATGCCATGGATGGCATTGTGTTTGATGGACAGGTGCAACCAAATGGCTATGTGGAGCAAAGCAGCAGCTCAAGTCAGTCTCGTGATAGCCTGAGTGTGAGTTCTGATTCTTCCACAAGGCTCTCCAGGTCCTCTGGAGAACATGGTGGCCACCATTGGAGCCTCCCGAGTCCTGGAGAAAGCAGTGCCGCTGACCGTGGGAGTTCTCGGAGGAGCAAGAGTTTGCAGAATCTTCTCCTGACCCGAGGGAGGCCTAATCTGCAGCGCTCCATGAGCGATGGTGGTGTCCGGTATCCTGTGCAGGAGAACCAAGGTGAGCCATGCTCCGAAAACGGGAGCCTCACTGAAAATGTGCCAGTTGATACACCTCCATTGGCAAATGGTGGAAACCTGGATTTGGAGACTGCAGCTACCGAACCCATGGTTTCAGAGCACGCAGAGGAGGAGAACAGTGGTTCCATTAGTCATCAGGATCCTTCTGATGGAGTTCCCCCTAGAACATCTGACCCATTGCACCCACAGCAGATGAATCTTAGCAGGCATGTTGGAACGAGTGCAGGAAAACCTCCTGGGGTCACCGTTAACAAGATGCAGGAGTGGATGCACAAGGGTCGCTTGCTTTCATCAGAGATGAGACAGAGAATCGCTGGATCCTCCTCACAAGGAGTGGCTCAGGAGCGCTATGGAAATGAGGTCCAAGCCTGGGCCAAAACCTTCAGCCAGGCCAACACCGTAAATGGGGAAAAAATAGGAATCGTGAACCCTTCAAGTGGACCTCACCCAGGTACGAATATCCACGGGGAATGAAGAAACTTCTCTCTCTCATTCTCTCTCCTTCTGTCTATGTTTTGCTGTTTTCCTCTGTCTCTTGGGAGCACGCTCATACCCTCTCATTCAACTCATTATTCGAACCTCAGTCATCACAGACCGCCCGATTCTGCTGCTCTAGACTCCATGTAACCGGTGGTGGGTCCATGGTTTCTCCATTCCTCTTCCTATCTAACGAAGGTTCATGTAACAAGAGGGTTTAGCTAGCTGCACGCTGGTGGAGGGCTCACGCTGGTACGCCACTTTAACCGCACATTACTAACACTCTGGTCGTGGGGTCATCGTTATACCAAATCATTCTGTGCTTTTTTTTTTACATGCTTAATGTTCAAATATGCGCTGCAAATCTTATTCTCCTCCATCATTGCTTAAACTAGTTGATTTCATTTGAATTTCATTTCTGAAACATGACGTAGTTGCTATGCAGGATAAGATGTGTGTCTCCCTGGCCAAAGACTTGTATCAGGAAACTGAATTCCGCCATTGTTCTCAGCAACAAATACAGCTTCTAGATTTAGGAGGCTCATTTGTCTGACATTATTAAATAATCGTAATGGTTACAGGCTGGATAATGGGTGCGTGTCTGCACTGATTTGATGTGCTGCACATGGAAAACTACAGGCAAATGGGGAACATGTTTTTGAGGAAGATCTTGATAGATTTGTAGTGTTTCATTCCATGTCCTCAGAAAGCATTGCTGTGATGGATACGATTTTGTACCACGAAAATAAAGCCTGCATTGTTCAGGCTTTGGATTCTGGCAGCTAATTTTTCCTCACTTTATTACCTAGTCATTACGGTTATTCCCCAGATAATGGCTGTGTGTCTGTACTGATTCAATATAAAAATGTCATAATACAATGAGGCTACATTTTGGTGGAAAGCCTGGCTCCGAAGGTTCTCTGAAACATTGTTCAGGTTTTGGATTTAGGAAGCTAATTTCTTTCACTATATCAGCTAATCATTACGGTTACCCCAGATAATGGCTACAGTTATGCGCTGATTCAATATGAAACTTTACGGCACAATAATAACCACATTTTGCTGGAAGATCTTGTTGGATTTGTGGCAGTTTTTCTTCATGTTCTCAGAAAGTGTGCCTGCAAAGTTTGTCTGAAACAGGAAACAGCTCATTTTTTATGCAGGTTAAGTGCATGTGGTGAAGTTTGGATTTTGGGAGCTAATTTCTCTCACTTTATTAGCTAATCGTTATGGTTACGCCCCAGATAATGGCTACGTCTGTGCTAATTTGAAATGAAATATTATCAGACATATTTTATATAGTAACAGCCATATTTTGGTTGGAGATCTTTCTAGATCTGTAGCATCTCTCTCTTTTGGATTTCCTTGCAAATTTGTCTCACCTGACTAGATAATAAAGTCTGCATCCCAGAAAATGGCTGTCTGTGTTGAATTGTAAGGACCATAATTTGATAGAAGATCTTTGCAGATCTTTAGTGTGCCATCTTGTTGTCCTCAGAGCTGTGTGTGAATGTCTGTGTGTGTGTGCGTGTGTGTGTGTGTGTGTGTGTGTGTGTGTACGCATCACTGGGTTACACACTGCTGTTATTATCTTGCTGCTCTTGGTTCTGAGGGAAAATCCAGTGGCTCATACTTTGCTATAATTGTATTGGTGTGTAGGATGAGTGGAAATTTGTGTTCTGGAGTAGAGACAAAATGGCAAAGTCTTTCAGAATGCGTTGTCTGTGTGTCGTGTGTGTGTGTGTGTGTGTGTGTGTGTGTGTGTGTGTGTGTGTGTGAAAGAGAGAGAGAGAGTTAAAGTGTGTCAAGGGAATTGTTTGTTTTAGACAGGGCAACTGTTAGGCTTTTAACATATGCACACTCACAGATGTTGGTACTCTGTATGTATGTGTGTGTGTGTGTGTGTGTGTGTGTGTGTGTGTGTGTGTGAGTGTGCGTGAGAGAGAGAGAGAGAATGAAGACTACTGAAGGAGCTTGACATTAGATACAGTGGTCCTAATGATCTCCCACCATGCACTTCAGCCAATTCCAGAAGCACCCTGCTGCTTCCTCATTCATGACCACTTGCTGATCTCAGATCAGTTTCCACAACCTCGGCACGTCCTAAATCATTCAGTGCTCGTAACGAACCTGATCTGGGGTCAGTTCTCTGAGCTGTGTGATGCTTCCTTTCAGATGCATTCCTGTGCTATGGAAACGTGACACTCTGGGAGGGAATATTTGGCATACTCGCCGCATGGCTTGTTTGTGTTTGGTTACTTAACACTGAGGATAAAAAAGCAGCGATTACGCATTAGTTCAGGTCGACTGGGGATTATTCGTT